AGGTCCAGTCGCGCCCCTCACATCTGCTCCAGCTCGCGTCAAACTGACTACGTGATTTTGCCGAAAGACCAATCACGCCCCTCACATCTGCTCCAGCTTGCGTCACCTGCGTCATTTTGGCGAAGGACAAGTCACGCCCCTCACAGCTGCTCCAGCTCGCCTCGACCAGTCAGATCTGATTCCGTTTCAGCCTGATAATTCAGGGTGACTAAAACAAGAACATACAATATTTCAGGCCTGCTCAAATGAGAACTTCTACAATTCAGGCCTAGGAAAAATCAAAAGCTGAAAAAACAGGACGAAAAAAAAAAACACCCTGCTATACAGCATTTCAAGGAATTTTGTTCTGACTTCTGAAGCCCTGTTACTAGCTAAGTTTCTGACATTTGTCTCAAAACTTTTCTGTCTCATCAGGGTCACCCCCGAAAAAAGACATGATTTTATCATGAATCAGGGTAAAAAGCCCGCAATATGAGGCCCTGTTCTCAATGTGTCATTGAGTTTCAGTCGTCGATCGGCCTTTCCAGACCAGGCTCTCGAGATTCAGTGAAACTGGAATCCATTATTCATCTACGGCTGTAATTGTGCTTCCATCAAGTGTGCCTAGTTTAGGCTCCCCTGCTGCGTCAGGCGTATGACCCTTTGCTTTGTTTAGCCTTGGCTCCACCCTAGCTCCTCCGCTCCCAGCCACCACTGCCGCGCTCTCCTTCACTCTCGACTCTGCGCGTCTCGGTGTTTCTTTCGGGACCACACTACGCTTACGCAGCTTGCTGTCCCTGACGCCGTTACCCTTGCAGACCCTTCCTCAGGTCCAGTAGTCGCTCGTAGTTCCACCACTCTCCCCTGTCAAGCAGTTCCTTCGGGCTCTCTTACACGTCTGCACATCCCCTCGTTCTCTAGGAATCTAGTTGGTGTCGGTTGTCTTCAGGACCTCGGCGTTACCACTACGATCCCTGGTCACGAGAAGTACGCTGTCTGTACCGAGGCCGCCACTGGTGCCCCCCTCACCACGTTCCCCCAGGACCCGGTGTCTGGCCTGTTCACGCTGGACACCGCGTCCCCACAGGTTGGGACGCCCCCCATATGGCAACGTCTACCCACGTTGTTGCGGCTTGCTCTTGTCGGTCGCTTACTTCCCCGTCGCTTCTGTGGCACCACCGCCTCGGTCACCCTAACCTCACACGTCTCCGTCACATGTCTCAGCACGGTCTTGTCTTAGGTCTCCCTGTATCGTTCCCTGCACTCCCCTCCTTGGTAGCGCCTCCGTGCACCCCCTATGTCGAGGGCCGGCTCCGCCATGCCCATCAGTCCTCCTCGTTCCCCCCCACCACTACAACCGTTACAGACCCTGCACATGGACGTCTTGGGCCCCGCCCCCCTCCATGGGCCACGTCGTGAACGTTACTTCCTAATGCTTCTCGACAACTACAGTCGCTACACCACCGTGTATCCCCTAGAGCGGAAGGCTGACGTGCCCAATGTTCTTATCCCTGTGTTGCGTCTTCACTCTGACCGTGGTGGCGAGGTCGCCTCTGGCTGCCTTGGTCGCTTCTGTCGTGCGGAGGGCATCACCCAGACGTACACTCTGCCAGACTCCCCGCAGTAGAATGGGGTTGCTGAGCAATGCATCGGTTTGGTCATAGAGGTGGCTACCATTCGTCGACTCATCATATCTTTCACTCTCGCGATGTCACCTTTAACGAGTCTGTCTCCTACCACCGCTTTCCCCACCGTGGTCCCCAGTCACTCCCCCAAGAACCTGGTTCCCCCCCTCCCCGGTCGCCCCTGCTCCTCCCCTCCCCGCCCTTCCCATATGGTGTGTCTCACATCACCCCCCTCCCGTCGGTTGTCCCTGGCGAGGGTTCTGCTGACTCTCGTGGCTCGGTGGAGTCCCTTCCCTCGCCTGTCCCCACTCCGGTCTCTCCTCCCCTGTCGCCGCCGTTGCTGTCACATCCGCAACCGCCTCCTCAGCTGCTGTCGTCGCAGCTGCCGTCGTCACCGCCGTTGGGGTTTGTGCGTTCTGGGGGTGCTGGGGAGCGTGCTGGAGCGGTACTAGAGCCGGTACCCGTTCTGGGGGTGCTATCATGGGGCTTCACAAAGGGAGTCATGGTCCTGCTGGAGGCACCATGTCAGCAGTCGTCGCCGTCGTCGCCGGTGTCCGCTCTTTGCCTCCTCGGCCTTCCTTCTCCTTATCGCCTACCGGTGCCTCCTTGGTCGCCACCGCCTCCTCCTCTGCCGGTCTACTGCCCTGTGCTTCCTCGAGTGGACTCTTCTCCGGCTCGTTTCCCTCCTCATTCTACACCTGTGTCTCCTCTCCTCTCTCCTGAGCCGACTCCTCCGTCGCACGTCTGGTCTCATCGTCCGTCTCGTGCTCGTCCAACCTCCCCTGTTCCGCTTTCTCACCCTATGTTGCTTCGAGCTCACGCATCTCGTGCTCCTCGGCTCCTCCCGTCTCCTCCTCCGTCGTCTCTCGTTGTGGCCCCGCCTCTGTTTTCTGACTTCCTCCGTGCCGCGCGTCCCCTTGTTCCTCCTGTCCTTGCCTCCCTCGTTGCCGACCCGTCTGTTCCTGTCTCGAGCCTTGACGCTCTTATCGCTGTTGTCACTGACTTCGCCGCTACCCGCCGCCTTGACTACGCCACCGCCATGGTCTCTGACCCTGCCTGCCCTCCGTCCGTCAGGGGCGTGGCTGCCCTTGGCAGTGACGACCAAGAGGACAGACAATATGAGCTTGCTTCCTGTCAGAGGCTGCTCCCCATCTCTGTTCCATGCTGCTAGTCCTTGAGGGTGACTCAGATGCCCTTGACATCCCGACCCCTCGCACCTACGCTGAGGCCACCTCGGGATCCTGGGCCTCTCAGTGGATAGCTGTCATGGTGCAGGAGATGGCATCTTGGAGATCCACCGGTACCTTTGTCTGCGCAGTTCCCCCACCTGGGGTTAACGTATAGTTGATGGCCGATGGCCCTTCAAGGTGAAGTGCCCTCCTGGAGAACCGCCTGTCTTCAAGGCGCGCTATGTTGCTCGTGGCTTTAGTAAGCGTGAGGGGGTTGACTTCTTTCAGACCTTCGTCCCGACCCCGAAGATGACTACTCTTCGAGCAATGCTACACGTAGCAGCACAGCGTGAATACGAGTTGCACTAACTTGACTTCTCCATTGCTTTCCTCCAGGGCAGTCTACACGAGCAGGTCTATCTGCGCCGCCCCCAAGGCTTCTCCAGTACCTTTCCTCCTGGTATCGAGTGGCTCCTCCAGCGCCGTGTCTACGGCCTGCGCCAAGCGCCCCGTGAGTGGCACGACACGCTGCGTGCTACACATGCTGATATGCAGTTCTTCCCGTCGTCTGCGGATCCCTTCGTTCTTCGTCCGTTCCGGCCAGGCTCTGTTCTACATCCTTGTTTCCGTAGACGATCTGGTCTTTGCTACTGCAGACAGAGACGTGCTGGCCTCTATGAAGGCCGAGCTGCTGAGGAGACACACCTGCACTGACCTAGGGGAGCTGCGCCGCTACCTTGGCTTGTAGATCACCAGGAACAGAGTAGCGTGCACCATCACTCTCACACAGTCAAACTTGGTGTGCCAGGTCCTTCAGAGGTTCGGCCTTCAGTTCTCTTCCGCTTAGCCCACCCCTCTGCCAGTAGACCATATACTCTCTTCTCCAGTTCCGGAGGAGGCTGTAGAGCCTAGTGGTCCTTACGCAGAGCTGGTGGGTTGCCTCATGTACCTGATGACTTGCACTTGTCCAGATCTCGCATACCCTCTCAGCATCCTGGCCCACGTTGTGGCCTCCGGCAGACACCGACCACAGCTCTGGTCTGCAGCTAAGAGGGTTTTGTGTTATCTAGCAAGTACTGCAGGCATGGGGCTAGTGCTAGGAGGACGCAGACCAGTGGTCCTTACAGACGCTTCTTGGACAGACGACGCCGAGACTCTCAGGTCCTCCCAAGGCTACTGCTTTGGCCTTGGTGCAGGCGCTGTCTCGTGGAGGTCCACCCGCTCGTCGTCTGTTGCCCAGTCTAGCTGTGAGGCTGAGATATAGGCCGGTGCCATGGCGGTGCAGGAGCTCCGTTGGCTGACTTTCTTGCCTACAGATGTAGGTGAGCAGCCTAGCTAACAACAGGGCCATGATCCTCCTGTGCCATGAGCCCAGACTAGAGGGCAAGGCGAAGCACATCCAGCTGCAGTACTTCCTCTTGCGCGAGCTACAGCAGCGTCGCCAGGCCCGCGTAGTACACTTGGCCTCCGGTGCCAACATAGCTGATATATTTACGAAGGCGCTTGCGCTTAAAGATGATCAGCGGCACTGCGTACAGCTTGGACTCAATCCTATAGCACCTCATTTGCTAGGACATTGATGGTGTATGACTCTTTATATGTTATCCTGACTGGCCTTATGGCTTTCTCCCAGTGGCTGGACTAGTAATGCGGCCCTGGTCTTGTTCTTGCCTTGTTTGTACTCTTTTGAGTGGTCTTTATACCCCTGCCTCAGAGGTTGGACTAGTAGTGCCGCCCTGAGCTGTGTGCTTCTTGCTCAGCACTACCCTTTATGCATACAGTTGCATGTATAAGTTATAGGATAGAATAGGTGTGTGTTCTTAGATAGTACAACCCACTAGCTATATACCCCTTTATACTCTCATTCTATTCAACACTTCTAACTCTGAGACTTTATGTGTCCCAGCAGGGCCCAGTTTCCTTACGAAAACTCTCGCGAAATAAACAAAGTTGCAAGCTTCTGCACCCAATCATTTCATTTGTTTTTGTTGAAAGTACATCAAAAGACTTAAGCGTTTCTGAAGTGTAACACTACACTCGAGGAAGATTGCAAGGGGTACGCGAGTCAACGGAGGTTACACGAGGGGGCGGACAAAGAACACGAAGGGTTTGGGACTCAAAGGGTCGCAATTGGAGGTTGCGACTGACCGTTACAACAGCACGGATGGTAACCGAAGCGACAATCGAGTCGCTGTAACGACTCGATAAACCGCTACTGCAACTGTACTCTACAACTGTTTCTTATCTTCTATATATTGCTGTATGTTTGCCTTTTTATTATCACTTGTTCTCACATACTAGTACAAGGGTTCAACTGCCTCAACTTCCGCTGCACTACCCCAAGTCTTTACAGTTGGGACTTAGTCTCTGGAAAGATCCCAAGGGCTTTTCTCAGCCCAACAGTTTTCGCCACCTGCCAAGCTCACCTCGCGTTGACTTTGAGTAAGTAATTTGGGACATGGGCTTTAAACAAATAAACACTCAAATAGCACATGGTTTATGCATATTTCCCTCCACACCATACGAAAAGCAAAATTTCTGCATAGTTCATAGTATTTTGAGGCGAAGTTGGTTCATTCAACACCGAACATGATTTTCCACACTCTACAGCCCATCAAACACTTGTGTATGCATCTGGTTATTTTCATTTTGTTTTGAATAGAAAACGGAATGGGAGTTACATTGAAGAATGCCTTCATTTTGCTTCGCGTTTGCGACAGTTTTTCGAGCGAGAGCCGCTACCGTCGCCAGAATCGCTGAGCACGAACAATTCACCAGTTTGAAGGTCAGCACACCGCAGTGACCTAGTAACAAGGCTCGTTGAGCATGTGGCAGGGAATGACTTTGGGGTGGATCACAAACTTTAGGCATTTCGAGTGGTTCTCTGACGTGGCAATGCCTAATTGCTCCTCCAGATAGCCTACGCTCCCTTCCTGATAGCGATGTTGTGCGCAAAGTTCTTTACCTGCCCGGGTGGAAAGTTCCGTCACGTAGCTGTCGTTTTGGCCAATAGGCATCTCCGAAGTAGATTGATGGAGCGAAACGGGCAGAAGAGGGAAAACATCGGGAAAATCGTTCTGGGGGGGTCATATTGTCCCAAGCTCTCAGAATTCGGTAAGCTCCGAGCATCCCTGTGAACGCATCTGCCCACCTGCTCCTTGCTTCACCCTTCGTTTTCACCCAAACTCAAACCGTAGCCATGGCTGCCACCGGCCGCTCTCTCCAGCACCTTCTCCGGCGTCGCTCTTCCTACCCTCCCCGCCAGGAAGACCGTCTCCGTGTCCCGGAGCCTGAAGGTGTCCGCCAGCGGCGGCAAGAAGATCAAGACCAACACCCCCCTGGGTTAGTAGTTTGTCTTCCATCAGTTCCTGGTAGCCTTGACAGCTGCGGGATTTTGGAATGTTAAGAACGTTTCCGACAAGCTCTCCGCGTATTTCCTGACAGTCGCTCCGTCGTCCATGCCCGGGCAACCGCGTCCTGATAATCGCACTGGTAATTCATGCATGCAGGCCCAGCGGTGACTACAAGTTCAAGGTGGACCCCTCCGGCTCCCCCTCCAAGGGCAAGGGTGCCTACTCCTTCGCCAAGAAGTACGGCGCTAACGTCGACGGCTACAGCCCCATCTGGACCCCGTCGGAGTGGTCCGCCAAGGGTGACACCTACGAGGGTGGTAAGTAATTTACGTGCCGTGTGCTTGCTTTACTTTTGCTGCCCTCAGGCTTTTCTTCCCTTGTTCCGCTGTCTAACATCTGGAGTGTTTGACCGTTGCAGGCAAGGCCGGTCTTCTCCTGTGGTTCCTCACCTTCGGCGGCCTTCTCGCCATCGGTGCTCTCCTCATCGTCAACACGAGCGCCATTGCCTAAATATTTTGCGTAACTTCTGTGTATAGGCAAGGTACTTGTAAACGGGATGCATTCACGATTTTCTTTAAACTAAAAAAAAACATTAACCCTTTGAACCAGGCTGGTATGCGTGAACCAATTAACAACCCGCGTGCCTAGTAAAATTGACCCTGTAACCAGCCCTTTCGCAAAATTTTAGTACTGCCTGTCGCTAGTTAAGGGGCGTGTCAAATATGTACGTGCACTTGAGGATCGTAACCCCTGATAAAGTGCCAAAAATGCCACGCTCGACCCTCAGCCGTAGTCAGGGAACACACGCGGACATTTCAAAGTCCTGCGAACAGAAAAACCCCGAAACTCCAGCAGGTGGTCCACATCCAGGGCTAGAGCAAGCGAAATAATGTCGACGGAAAAATCAATGTCACGAAACTTCGCATGTCGCCAAGCAAATGCTCCCCCAAGGGTGGAAAGCCTACTGGACACGGCTTCGCTAGGTGGTACTCCCGTTACCCGCCATCCTGCCCTCCCCAAGTGCCCCCTTATTGTGGGACCCGTTTCTAGACCAGGTACGTTTGCGAAATCAATTCGCATTTCGCGACGTTCGACGTCTCGCCATGTCCAAAACGGCAAAACGATTTTTGGGGACACGCCCTAAGGCAATGGCTGACAGATGACTTCCTCCGCGCCTTTCGCTCAGACCAATGGCACACCACCCAGCAAGGCACTGGATCCCCCTGCGCAGCTAGCTATCTGGGGTTACCAACATGATTTCGAAATTCGCAAGCTATGGACTGGTCCGCAGCTGCAGTTCCTCCTTCGCTTCCCGTCCCCTGCACACTCCCCTCCCCTCTCTCTTTGCAGCCCCTCGGACCCGAGCCACATCTCTGACCATCCCGTAGCTGCATCGCGATGCGACCTGATCTTCCAAATACGGCGCGCCACATTTGGGAGTGGGTTGCTTATAAACCCAGCCAACCGCTCTAGGCCCAACATCGGCTCACAACAAACCAGCATCGGCAATTCCAACACACTTGCATCCACTTCAGACAATCCACGTAGCCATTGTCTGGGCCTTTTGTTAGGACAACTACTGCAAACAACTGCTAAGAGAAGGTACCGCGATTAATACCCCAGACGTGATTAGTTGAGTCCCACCATGAGAAACGGCGGCCCCACAATCGCGTTGCTGCTGATCTTCGGCGCGTTTCTGCTAGCAGCGCAGCCATCCAGAGGCGCACCACGCCAGTGGTGGCGTAACGGTGCCGAGTCCCAGCCTTTTGCGGCGCCCGCCAGAGGCAACGCGGGCAAATTCCAGGCGCCAGACACCCGCCGGTTCTGCCGTGTACATCGTGCGCCTGAGCACGGCGCCCCCCCTCTCCGAATACCGCGGCGGAATTGCGGGGTACCCCGCCACTGCCACGTGGGACGACGGCAGCGACGAGGAGGAGAACGACGACGACCGCGTGCCGGAGATGCTTCTCGCGGCCGAAGATTCCGGCGCAGCAGGCGGCGAATCCGAGTCAGAGCCCGAGTCCGTCGACTTGGACGACACCAACGCCGATCAGCACTTCCCCAACGCAACTGCGCCAGCGCCAGCAGATGCGGCGCCTGAAACCAGTTCGACTTCCAGCGCACGCGGTGGTCGTGGGAATGGTGGTGGTAGCAGCAGCGGCAGCGGCGGGTGCGCGCGGCACAGGCTGCATCTGAGCATGGACCGCCCCCAGGTGGCAGCGTTCGCGTCGCTGCTGCAGCGGCAGCAGGCGCAGGTGGCATCTGAGGCGGGCCGTGGGCGACGGCGACCTGCTGTACAGCTTCAAGCACACGTCCAACGGCTTCGCCGCGCGCCTCACCCCGCGCCAGGCGTGGCGCCTGCAGCGCCATCCCGCCGTGGCGTCCGTGCGCCGCAGCCGCGTGTTCCAGCGGCGGACCAGCGACTCGCCCAAGTTCCTGGGGCTCCCCGGAAAGGTGTGGCCCGCCGTGGGCGGATAGAGCAAGGCGGGCGACGGCACGGTGGTGGGGATCATCGACACGGGCATCTGGCCCGACACCCCTCGTTCTCCGACAAGGGGTTTAGTTCGAACTTCCCCTCTGGGTGGAAGGGTAAATGCGAGCAGTCCAACTCGTTCCGATGCAACAACAAGGTGATCGGCCGCCAAGGCGTTCTACACCGGGTTTCAGCGGGCCAGCGGCAAGCCCGCGCTGGGCGAACGACTGGCTCACGCCACGAGACGCGGACGGGCATGGCACGTGGTGCGCGGGCGCGGCGGCGGGGAGCCCGGTGGGGCTGCAGGGCGGCGGGCAGGTGAGCGGCATGGCGCCGGCTGCGCGGATCGCGGCGTACAAGGTGTTCTGGACGGACCGCAGCAGCGGGGAAATGTATGCGGACGAGTCAGACATCATCGCAGCCGTCAATCAGGGCGTGGCGGACGGCGTGGATGTGCTGTCGCTGTCCCTGGGGGGCATGGATCCCAACGACAACTATTTCAACGACCTGGCTTTTATGCGGGCCAACGCTGCCGGGGTGTTCATTGCCTTTGCTGCTGGTAATGCTGGCGCTCCGGGCCAGTCACAGGGGGGTGGTTACCGCACGGTGGACAACTTCGCACCCTTCTTTCTGACTGTGGGCGCCAGCACCATCGCACGGGGAGCGTCCCTAGCTTCGGCAGCAGCAGCAGCCGGCACTCAGTCGCTCCCCCTCAATGCCATTGCCGGCGCCGCCAGCACCAACAGCACTGTCAACTGCAACGGCACTGGCAGCGGCAACAGCACAGGCAACGGCACCATGCCAGGTGATGGCAGCGGCACCACTTTCACTGCCGACGGAGGTATCACCTTCGCCACCTCCTCCTCCTCCGCCCCGGTGGTTGCTGACTTCTCGTCCCGCGGCCCCCTCATACCGCCCTCTGCCACGGCCCAGCCCCCCCAACCAGGCAACGCCATCCTCAAGCCCGACATCATCGGCCCCGGCGTGGACCTCCTAGCCGCCGCTCCTGGGAAGAAAATCGGCGACCCCGGCGCCCTCGCCCGCCTCTCGGGTACTTCCATGGCCACCCCTCATTTGGCGGGGCTGGCCGCGTTAATTATCCAGAAATTCCCCAACTGGAGCCCGGCGCAGGTGATGTCGGCGATGATGACGACGGCGCGGGTGACTGACACGAGCAGCAGCCCCATCAAGAGCTCCACTGGCGGGGATGCCACCCCCTGGGAGATGGGGGCAGGCCATGTGTTCCCCCTGCCATGCTCAACCCCGGCCTCACCTACGACGCCCGAGACAAAGACTACCAGAATTTCCTGGCCGGGCAGGATCTGACCCGGGCGAAAAAGGAGTTCCCAGGGGTGTCCCTCTCCCCCCTGGCTGTGCGCAATCTCAACCTTCCCACCATTACTCTACCGCGCCTGCAGGGCTCGATTCAGGTGACTCGCACGGTCACCAATGTGGGAGGGGCCCAGTCCACATACAGTGTATCTGGGAAGGCGCCAGCAGGGGTGAAGGTGACAGTGGCGCCTAAGAGCCTCACGGTTGGTGCCGGGCAGAAGGCGAGTTATACTCTGACGTTCACTGTGGATACACCCAGCAAGGACTTCAAGTACGGGTATATAGTGTGGGCGGATGACCAGGGCCACAGCGTGCGGTCCCCCTCGTGGTGCAGCCACTCTCGCGCTAAAGGGGGAGAGGGTGAGTGCTTGCTGCTCTTGCAGTAAGGGCATGGGTGCTGTGCGGTGCTGTCCTGGCTGCTAGTGGTGCGGCTGATGCTACGGCTGGGAGCGTGTAGTGGGTCATTGGTCGAAATGTGATGGATGGACACGGGGGTTCAGCCAGGCAAGGGCAAGGGTTGGTTCGTGCTGGCAGCCTCACATGTTACAGGGATGACCTCCGTCCCTGGCCACGTGAAGACCCTGCTTTTAGGCTCCAGCCGGTTGAGGCTATTGCCTACATGTTAGGATGCGACCGTACCACCTGTATACATGGTGCCATTATTTATTCCAGTTTTTGTTGGCACCTCTGCCTCTGCATGTCCATTTCTCTAGACCAAGAGTGCCATACAGGAGAAACTGCACAGATACTCTTGCTAACTTCCCCATCACTGCTACAATAACTTTGACAATGTAACCCTATCACTCGATATAGGCGATAGTACACCCGATATTCAGCCTACTCTCAGGCCCGTGCCGCGAAACCAGCGGGCTGCTTGAGAGATATTTCAGCACAGCTGCCCGAAGCACGCCCGTCCCGAGTCCATGGTCAATGAACAGCACGGCACCAGGCGGCCTAGACTGCACTGCCAGGTCCACTTCTGCTAGGGCATCCTCCACACTCCTGCCCTAGCGGGATTTGCAACACCAGGCAGCCTAGACTGCACTGCCGCTAACGTCCACTGTGTTGCATGCTGTCTGCACTGCTGCTTCCCTCACTGCTGGCAGAGACGAAGACGATAAAGTTGAGGAGAGGGAAGATGGGGATGGGAATCGACCCCCTCGCTTTGAGGCGCTGTTGCCATTCGTGTTACTGCTACCATCGATGCCATCATCGTCTTGCTCCCAACGACCATCAAACATCCTGTGCCCCTCTCCTTCCTGCTGCCTCTCCATCAGCCATGGTCTGTGGCCCAGCAGCACTACCAGCATTATCATCAGCTTCCGCAGGAAGCAGGTCTCCTCTCTGCACTCGCAACCTCAGATTTCCTAGCTGTACAGTCACCAGCCGAGCCGCTGGTGCCGAGCCTGAACCCTCTCCCGAGCCTTCTCTGGACCACAGCCCATTGCCACCACTGTACCACACATACTGCTGCCGAACCTCCTCACATACACCCCCTCCCCCACAGCAGGGACCCAATCCGCTCCTCGTGGATCTGCCGAGCCTCCTGCCAGACCACCAACCGGAGCACCCAAACCTGGAGCAGAATCAGGTTCAGGAAAGAGCACGGTCAGTCCTGCCGCTGCTGCCAGGTCAGCACAGGCCCGGTCGGTTGCTACTCGCTACGGCACACAAGCAAGGGAAACCTCCTGGAAGGAGGCAACGACACTAGAGATCTCCTCCCTCGCTGCTAGCACCTCCTCCTCCTGTCTCTCTGGTACCGCCACTACCACTGCAGCTCTCGAAACGCCAAAGACTGCTCTTTCTGCCTGTTTTTCTGGTCCTTCGTGGTATGTTGGGCTGGGAAGTCGTTGCGAAGCCTCTCTGCGTCTCGCGTGGCCTCTGCTGCTTCCCCTGCAGCCTCCGCATTCCGCTGCCATTGCTGCTGCAGGGACGCCAGTATTCCCAGCTCCTCACCCTCTCCCCCCCCCTTCCCATGGTGGCATACTCCTTCTCACTCTCCCTCCCCTCCCTCCTCCCGCTCCTCCTCCTTACTTGTCTCACGAGCCAGCCTGGCGGCTCTGGCGAGGACGGGGGGGGGGGGGGGGGGGGGGAAGACTGTGGGAAGCAGCGAGGGAGAGGGCGTGGGAGGTGCCGGGGCGACCCCAGAGGATGTTGACGGAGGGGCGCAGTGAGACTCGGTCAAAGGCCGCACTCGCATTCTCAAAGCGGGGGTCGGAGGACTGCAAGGGAAGAAGAGAAGGGGTGGGAAGGGGGTGTTGGGAGGGTGGTGAGAGGGAGAGGGGCATGAGGGAGGGGGGTTGGGAGGTGCCAGGGAGACCCCAGAGTATGTTGAATGACGTGGGCAGGGAGACTCGGTCGAACACCACACTCGCATTCTCAAAGCGGGGGTCGGAGGACTGCAACGGAAGAAGAGAAGGCGTGGGAAGGGGGTGCTGGGAGGGTGGTGAGAGGGAGAGGGGCATGAGAGAAGGGGGATGGGAGGTGCCATGAAGACCCCAGAGTATGTTGAATGACGGGGGCAGGGAGACTCGGTCGAACGCCACACTTGCGTTCTCAAAACAGGAATTGGTGGGCTGCAAGGGAAGAAGAGAAGGGGTGGGAAGGGGGTGTTGCTGGGTGGAAGCCAGTGTGAGCCATCATTGGTATGCGCCTGGTGTCACAGTGTGACCCTCCAATGGGTCATTCAGCCGCTGTTTATCATACCTTGAGCTTCTTGAGGTCGGCGTAGTCAGTGGTAGCGAGTGTGAGCCAAGGTGCAAAAAAACGGCATCCGTATTAAACGGTCCGTTTTAAACTGCCGTTTTTTACGGTGGGTTTTGGTAAAAAACGACGTTTTTTTGTTAGACTTTTTTTCATGATTTTTTTTTAATGTATAAAAAGCACGCGTAAACAAGTGGCCTGATTGCTAAGGCGGCCTGCATCGTTCTACGGGGTAATTAGCGGCTTTGAAACAGGTATGTGATGTCCATGCCCCTAGTCCGTCGCCTTCTAGGTCTCATTCTGCTCCTACTCCACCATCCCCCCATCCTCCTCCTCCTAAGCGTCATCCACCTAGTCCTCCCCCCTTTGTCCTCCTCCCCTTAAGCGTTATTAGCTCGGCCAAAAACAATGTACACCGTATTATACAGTGGTACGAAAAAAACGGTCGTATAAAACGGCCGTTTTTTTGCACCAAACGAAAAATGCAACTTTTGACCGTTTTAATCATATTATACGACCGTTTTATACGATCCCATTTTAAACGGTAAAAAACGCCGTTTTTTTGCACCTTGGTGTGAGCACTTCACATCCCGCCAGGTGTTTCAAAAGGGCAGCTGCGAGTGCAGCACCGTCTCAGGGGCCCACCCCTGCCCACCTCTGTTCATGAAGCCACACACTGCACTCAAAGACTCGCCTTGAGCTTCTTGAGGCACATACCTTGGTTGGGGGTTGTTGATGGGGTCGTAGACCTGTGACGACCCCTCAGACCTTGGTCTCTGCCACTTCCACATGCTCAAACACTCACTCTGGGCTTCTTGAGGTCGGCATAATTTTGAGGAGCTTCAAAAGTAATCTCAGTTCACGCAGATTTTATATGGGGAATATATCCATTTCTTGAAGCTGCTCAGAGACTCACCTTGAGCTTCTTGAGGTCGGCATAGTGAGTAGTGGTGAGTGTGAGTCCTTCAGCACCAGCCAGGTGTTTCAAGAGGGCAGCTGCGAGCGCTGCACCCTCTGAGGGATCCGTGCCACTGCCCACCTCGTCCAGGAGCATGAGAGAGGAGGAGGAAGAAGCGGAGAAAGAAGGGGATGAGGGGGAAGGAGCAAGAAGGATGTGTGAGACGCGGTGCATGTGGGCGCTGAAGGTGGACAAGCTCTGCTCCAACGACTGCTCGTCACCGATGTCATCCACCACCCGGTCAAACCATGGTAGCACCGCCACACACCCATTCACACCGCTCTCTCCGCATGGATCCACTACCCCCTCACCCTGTCTCCCTCCACTCTGGTCTGCCTGTTCTTCCTCTCCTCCTCCTCCCTCCCCCTCTGCTCCTATTCCCTGCATCCCCTCCATTCCTCCCTCCCCACCCTGCTCCCTCCCCTGCCTCGCCCCCTTGTCAGTGGCATGAAAAGCCTAGCTTTAGCCATGTGTGTGGCAATCCCAAGGGTCTTGCGGGCGGCGGTCTTGCCGCCCGCATTGGGGCCTGAGATGATCACCACTGCGATGCTAGGCGGGACAAGCACGTCTATGGGCACAGGCAGGGCTGGCATTCCTGCTACATCCTTGCGTGCTGCTCCTACAGCTCCTGTGCCTCCAGCCGTTCCTGCTCCTCTTGCCTATCCTGGAGCTCCTGCAGCTCCTGTTGCTCCTGCGGCTCTTGTGCCTCCTTCTGCTCCTGGTGCTCCTGCTGCTCATGCTGTTGCCTTAACGCCTAATGCACCTACGATGTTGACGAGAAAGCCCCGCCCTCGCTTGAGTGGGCACCTCGTCGTGCGCAACACCCGTGCACACCTAGTTCTGGTTGGCGTGACGAACCGGGGAGCGTTGCATTGCAACGCAGTTCAAGCCGCAGGTGTGATCGGCAAACTTGCAGTACAGTGGCAAAGTCCAAGTTGGCGAAGTTCAAGTCGGCGAAGTTCAGGTTGGCGAAAATCTGAGTAGCGAATTTCTGCGCGGCGAACTGCAAAGGCGTCGAAACTGCAAAGCGGCAAAACCGCAACACCACATCCAGCGTGGGTGTTGCGGAACAATTGCGCAACTGAGCACATTCGTTGCGAAACAAAAGTGTGCGAATTTCTCCACTACGGAATTCGCATGCGATTGAGACATTGGAGCCACCTGACCGCATTTGAGTAGCAGTGCAAATGTGTACGCAACGAACCGGTTAGACCCTGAGCACCTACCATTGTCACATGCGTAGTTAGGAAACCTGGACATGTGCGCATGGACAGCTTTTCCTCATGCCATCATTGAATTCGCAAAGCGTAGCTTTGCCACGGTTTGGGACAGCGCAACATTATGGCTGTTGGGCTGAGAAAAGCCCCGAGGATCTTTTCAGAAAACGAAGTCCTTGTAACAGAGTGCTTGATAGCACAGTTGTATTAGTATGTAAGAACAAGTGATTGATTATAGCAAAGAGATACAAGGGTTTATTTAATAATAGAAGAGAATACAAAGAGTCTAATTGATTATGCACTTCGAGGGGTACATTTCCTTTATGAATCGATAAGAGCGACTCGGGTAACCACCCGTACTGTAATACCGGGACGGTTATTTGTCCTTGCTGTCATGCTCACTTGAATCTTGTACTTTTGATTGTTGAGTTGCGAGGTCAACGGTCTGCGATCGTTGCCCTTTCGTAACCTCTGCGAGGTGTCGTTAGACTACGTCAACCGTCAAGGATACTGTAGCGATCTTGACTCGGTAATCTTCGATGTGTGTCCTTCGCGTAATTGTTATAGTTACGCGATACTCCGGAAATGTGCTGAAGTCCTTCTATCCTTTCCAAGAATGGCACCGCGCAGCGGTGTGGAACAGCACAGCGTTGCGACGCAGCGCATTGCGACTAGTTGTTCTGGGGATCTTAGGTGTCACAGGACCAAATTGATCGAGGAAAAAATTCACTACCAATCGATAGAAGGCGCAATAATACTTCCAAGGTATATCAGGTAACCAGCTT